ACCACTTAAGGTTCCAGGCTCAAGAACACTAAAGCATACCTAGAAATTTTTGGAAGAAAGAAGAAGAATATGCTTGATGGTGTGTGGCATCATGCACCCCACACACATATTTATAGGGGCCGAATCCATGCATTGTTTCATGAAAGGTTGCCTTTATCCATACGAAAAGTTGCCTTCATCCATATCAAGGGTTGCCTCTATATCCATAAGGTTATCCTTATCCATAAAATATGCAACCTCCACTAGGAAAAAAGGATGTGTCCCTTCACGGAATTAGAATATCGGTTCGGTCGGTCTAATCCCAAACCGGTTGGTCGGTCAAACCCAAAACTGGTTTGACTTGGTTAGTCCGGTTCAACCAAATTTCCAACATGTCATAAGCGACAATCATGGACAGTGGTTTATCGCTCTCTCGTCTCTATTGTCGCCTAAGCGCGAACATTACCCAACGATTGACTAAAAGCAAATGTATGATGTTGGATATAGCATCACTCTCATTTCCCAAAAATAGGAAAGTGGCTCTCCTAGGGTTAACTAAGGCACACATCATATATCATCGTGACGAGCTCGATAAGAGATGGTCGACAAACTAAGCCTAGAGATCACCCAACACTTTATTTCCAACCATACTAAAGCTATGAAGGAGATTAAGAATGAACCGAAAACCAGCTTATATCTAGCCACACATGCATACGAGCGTCGAATCATGGCACAAGTAGAGGAGAATCCCTCGATCCATGTGCTCAAAACATGTATCCACAAACCAAAAGTCGTAGAGATGCATGGTCTTTGATTCAGGCATCTCCACTCATTCACACATCAGCAATGCACCATCCTAACTCCATTATCAATGCACAAATTGATATAGAGTGCTCAAATTATAGAGGTAAGCATACGAGAACTCCATAACATGCATACACGAGATGAACGGATGGAGCACATAGGTCCAAAGGCAAGCAAACACATAGTACATGCATGCATTGACAAGGCTTTGGATTAAAGATATTAGGGAAGGATGTAGTGGTGTAGAATGCCAAATGAGAAGTCGTGTGAGTGAGAGCCATAATGACGATGGCGCGTGCAAGCAAAGGTAATAAAAAAGTGGCATGTATTAGTCGATATAGGGAAGCACACAATCAAGCATACATGGGCCGAGATGGGTGACATGAAAGATGGAAGTTAGGAACCAGAGCTCAAGGTTGGGGTCCAATTGACAAAGATCAACAACATCAACTCCATTTTGCCGCGATTTGGGTGACATGAGAGGAGATGAAAGATGGAAGTTAGGAACCAGAGCTCAAGGTTGGGGTCCAATTGACAAAGATCAACAACATCAACTCCATTTTGCCGCGATTTGGGATGGTTGGGTTGGGTTATTTCCTAAACAGCTAATTCTAATCCTAGGGAAAACCAATCACTCATTCGGTTAAGTACCAGAGATCTAAGAAAACAAGAGCTTAAAAATACCTTTTAGATTGCAGAAGTAACTCGTAGATCGTTCTTCTACGAATCCAGTTGCTTGATGATTAGGGGCAACCTATAAATCTATGGTCGGCCAACTTTATTGGAGATAACAACTTCTCCTGCTACTCTTAAGAATTGAAGGACAAATCCGAGTTATCTCTTGAAAATACTTTTCTTCATTGTTTTTAGGTTAGACATCAAACATGGGTTGCCTCCCGAGAAGTGCTCTCTTTAATTCCTTTGAACTAGGCGAGGCTAGAGCGTTTTAGGTGTATGACTAACGCGGCTGGACAATCATCTCCCCCAATTGTTGAGGAGAGGTATCTCGAGATATGGATACAATTTATTGACATGAACCAAAGGTGGTTCAATGGATACACCATCTCCTTCAATTGTCTTTTTATTTTAGGCGACAACGAGTACGTCGTTGAATTCCCTAGAGTAGAAATCTTACTCCTTCCCCATAGTTGGGCATAGGAGTTTCCGAGGAGTCACAACTCGAGCCTATCATGGTAGGAATCGATTGTGCTTCATTTCCCTCTTTCTTGGCCTCGAGAGTGTTCATTTGTATGATATGATCTGCATGATCGATTCTCATCGTAAGTTGAGCTTTCGAGATCGCTCACACTCTTGCTCAAGAATTTCTCATATTTCTTTCAATGTTGGTAAGACAACCTCTTTTCCTCCCAGAACCGAGATGAACTCGTTGAGGATGTTCTAATTATTTGAAGGACCAAAGTTTTCTCAAGGAAGTGAGAATAAGGCGCCCCTGCTGCCAAATTGAAGTAAATTTTGGCGAATTGACAGTTATTCGGTTAACTGAAAAATAATCGATAATCGACTATATGGTTGTGGTGAATCAACTAATATAAATGGTGCAATTAATAGTAAACCAATAACCGGCTAAACGATTATGATTCTGACCTAATCAAATCGACTAACAACGCTAAGCTCTGGTCATGGTAGGATGGGTCATGTGGTGGGTTTGGATTATTGCCAGGTGTAGGTTTTGATTGATGGTGCTGTGAAGAATGGGTTGCATAGGGTTGGGAGTGGGTTGGCAAGGTTCTAGGGGTATAACTGCGGCTATGGAGGAGCCATTATTTGATAGGGTTTTGGATCCTTTTCTGGTAGAGCTTCTCGCACTTATTAGGGAGGCAATTTGATGGTGTGTGATACATGGTTTTACGAGGATGGCATTTTTTGGATGCAAAACATGTTATGGATAAAATTAGACATGTGAATCTCTTTAATGTTGGTGGAATTATTCTTGCGGATATAGGAATGCTTCAAGGATATTTTTTTTTATGTCTCCTTAATAGGCCGAGATATTAACAAGGTTGTCCATTGGGCGAAATTGCCATTTATTTGTTCCCTAATTTATTGGAATTTGATTTGTCATCCTGATTTAGGGTGTTTCGCTAACTGTCTGATATGATCTATTTTAATCAATGATGTGATGAGCATGATTGTCATGCCGGTGTTATACTGCCCGATTGAAGCTGGTTCAATAAGTGTCGGTCATGAAACTGGCATAAACACCATCAGTAATTCAGTTTGACCAACATGATCAATTTACGACCTCTAAGTAAAATTACGTTGTTTTAGCGAATTTAATTAATAAAATTAATTTATTATTTACTTTATGAATTTAAAAGTTAAATGTTAATGTTATTAGTTGGATTCAAGTATGAATGTCTAGTAATTGACACTAAAATATTGTATTTAAATATGAGTATTTATTATTTTAATTGAAATGTTGTATTTTATTTAAATATGAATATTAATTGTAAGTTAATTGTCTTCAAATATGTTTTATATACATGATCAAATTCATTTGTTGTTAATGATTTTTCACATTTCTATAGATTCTTTCGAACCGGCATGACTCAACGCATACGACTGGTTATAACATGGGTCGAACCATTCCATTTGATAAACTTGTACTACGGTATAAACTCGTTTGCAACCTTGGAATTAGGGGAGGGGGAGGGGGGGGGGAAGTAGGGTTGCAAATAGGGGTGGGCAATGGGACGGGACGGGATACCTGTCCCGTTTTAAACGGGTACCCAGTCCCATTTGGAGTCCAAAGTCCATCCCATATCCCAAACCCATATGGGAAACGGGTACCCATTATCCGTACGGGACGGATAACGGGTACCCATACTACCCATAAATACCCAAAGTTTAAATGACATTTTACGTAAAGACAATTAGTCAATTACATGCAAAGCATTCATTTCAAAACACAAAATGGCTGCACAAGTAGCAACTTACACCAATTCCTACAACCCAAAGAAGGGATGATGATGAAGATGAAAAGGAATCAAGGAAGGGGAAAGGACCAAATAATAAAACCCAGAAAGAGAACAAGTTCTGCTTCCTGGAAAGTGTCATGATTCAATAATAATAATAATGTTGTTTCTACTCAAATCAATCCTCAGTTTGGCAAAATAGGGTGGGGAAGGTGGTGAATTTTGCAGCAGCAAGCAAGGGTGCTCCCACACTTTCCCAGTGCCATTACTTTGCCATTACTTCGACCTTTCGTCTCTTCTCTCTCGTCCCGCGAAGACGACTCCTCCAGCCAGGGACAAGACACAAGACAAAGACAGACCTTTCCAAATTCCAGAGAAGCTGCCGCCTGCCGTCGCGTCTTCTAGGGCCTAGGGGTGCGTCAGCGTCTCAACTCTCACGGGCTGAATTAAATGAATTTTGTAATTTTAATGGATTTTGAATTGGGTTGGGCCTGGGCGCATGGGCTGAATTATATGTCTTTGTAATTTGAATGGGTACAACGGGTACCGATATTACCCAAACGGGTATTCGCGGGTAACCCGCGGGTACCCATATTAGGACTGTACAATCCCAAGTCCCATCCGTTTACAATATTACGGGTAATATGGGTACCCATAACCCTTAAAAAACGGGACGGGTACGGGTATACCCAAATACCCGTTTCCCGCCCCTAGTTGCAAAAACCAATACCTGATGCTCAGAAGTCAGAATACGGAAGAAGGGTAAAGTGGTGTTTGAGAGATGAGAATGAAAGGGAGAAAAGATTGAGGACCGAAAAAGGGGAGAGAAAAGTGACATGTGATTTGAAGAGGGGCGGTACGTGACACTCAACATAACCATTTATGGCAGCCCTACCATTAATACTGATGTGTTGTTTTGTTTTGTGTCCCTCTTGTGTTTTGTTTGATTAGAAGGCAAAAAAGAAAAAATGACGCACATTAGATTGTTTCTGGTTATTATATTAGGTGCTAAAAGAACAAATGCAGAAGCAGAACACAGCAGCAACATAATGAACGGACATAGATTTACACTGCGTGCAAGAAGCTAACCTCCAGATTTGTAACGGCTGTTCCCTCATCACCATTGGGTAATTGGGCGAAGCATAGAGAGATGCATCGATGATCATTAGTTGAAAGTGAACCCTAAAACCAGCTTTTGGGTGCACCGAAATCACTTGGGGAATTGAATGCACCCACTTTCTTTGGCATATAAAAACTGTTAAACTCTGTGCACTACTCACTCACATAATCTCGGTTTGTTGTTGTGCATCGATTAAAAAGAAAACAAGTTACACGGAAAAGGAGAAGCAAAGAAAAAGCCCAAGAAAAAAGAAAGGACATGCCATTGTTCTTCTGGGTTGCTGGTGATCGCACTTCTCATGGAGTGAAGAGCAAAGGAGGGAGGGAGAGAGATAGACAGAGGCAATGGAAACCCTAACCCTAGGGTTACATCAACAGGAAAAACCTATTTGGAAGAAGACCCCAAATCTGAAAATTTGGGGGGGAGAGAGAGAGAGAGGAGTTGGTTCCGGGAAAGAAGGGGGATAGAGAGATGGCCATGGTGGTGGTAGGGGAGGAAACTGTTGTATTGAGGGGGAACAGTGAATGGCACAAACTCTTTTGGGAGACATGTCAATGAAAATGGTTCATCATCATCTCCTTGTTTCAAGTACGTACAAATTAACTCCCCATACATACACTCCCTAGCTAGCTTCCACTGTTTCTCTCCTTCCTACGATTTTAAGACTACCCTTATTTTATCTGGTCTCTAGCTAGCTTCTGCTGCCTGCTCATCTTCTGCATATCAGCTTGAGAGAGGGAGAGAGATGGGGTGGGTTACCCTGTTTTTTAGGGCTTTATATATTTGTTCATCTGCTTAGAGGGTAAATCTGTGCCATTTCTCTTTCCTGTTCTTGTGTCTCAGCTAAAGAGATGGAGGAGTAGACGTCAATGGCGGAGAGTAGTGAGAAGAAGTGAGAAGGTATCTGCTGCTGCAACAGCTAGGCTTCACCCTTCCCTTCTCCACAAATTTGCTTGGTCTTCCATCCTAGCTTTTTTTTTTTTTTTTTTTTTTCTGTCAGAGATGTAGATGATGGGTTTGGTAATAGGGCTTCTTTCCTTTCTCCAGAACACAGACAAGTAGCAAGAAAGAAAGAAGAGGGTTCTGTTTTGGAGGGGTGAAAAAGTGGGAGAAGAAAACAGGGAAAGTGAGGAGCAGTAAAAAGGGTTAAAAAAGTGAATAGCTAGAGAAGATAAAAAAGAGAGAGAGGATGTTTTCGTCAACAAGTGATCCCTTTTCATATTCACCTTACAATAATAATAATAATTCCACCAATCCTCCTCCACCTCACAATATTGCTGCTGGTGGTAGTGATCCGCTTCAGCAGCAGCAGCAGCACCTGCCCTGTTGTTCCTCACCCACTCAAAATCTGCAATCTCCCAGCCTCCTCATGATGTTTGACCATGATCATCAGTATATGTTCACCACCAACAGCAGCACCACTAGTAGTAGCTTCCTCTGTCCTGATCCCTACCCTTCCAACAACAACAACAATAGCAACCCAGTCACCAATTTCCCATTCTTGTTGCCCACAGATCACCCTTACTATCCCAACAGCCATCATCTTGTTGATGGAATCCCAGCTGAAAACTACAACAATGCACTAACTATGCAGCAGCAGCAGCAGCAGCACAAGAGGAATAGTAGTAGCAGTAGTAGTGGCAATAAGAACAAGGAGAGGCACAGCAAGATAGAGACAGCGGGCGGGGTGAGGGACAGAAGGGTGCGGCTTTCCATAGCCACCTCCAGGAAGTTCTTCGATCTGCAGGACATGCTTGGCTTCGACAAGCCTTCCAAGACCCTCGACTGGCTCCTCTCCAACTCCGCGGCGGCCATCCAACGCCTCCACATCACCTCTCACCCTCACCCTCTTTACAACAACACCAACACTGCTCCTCCTCCTGCAGCCACAGAGGAGGTGGAGGAGACAAGTGTTAGTAGGAGGGCCAAGGCAAGGGCAAGAGCCAGGGACAGAACCACCACCACCTCCAGATCCAAGCAGCTCACACCTCAGACTACAAAACCAATATTGCCACTGCCTTCTCCACATCAATACTACCACTACCAGAACAACAACAACAACAATTCTAGTACTAGCACTTGCAACAATTTCGGGGTTCTGTATCAACAACAACAACAACCATACCTTTCCGGCATAGCCATTGGTGTTGGCTCAAGCTACTCGACGGAAATGATCCACACAGCACTAACAACAACCAGATCTACTACTACTACTGCTACCAACGACGATGGGCATTCGTCATTAAGGTTGATGAAGTGCGAGCTGCTCAAGCCACCGCCACAATCCACAATCAAGCATCAAACACCGCATAATGTTCATCACAAGACTACTACAGCAACTTGGGACAGGATGACCGATGCTCCAACGGGTAATCCAATATTACCTACTCAAACAAATTAACCGCATCCCGCTACAATGTAGATTAATTTTTTTTTAATCTCCCATTCAACTTATGACACTCAAATAGAATTGTTTCAGAATCAATTCAAAATTGCGTACCTTCTTGCGCAGGAATGCAAATGTCTTGGGAGGGAGACCTAAACAACAGCGTCGTCCACTTCAGCAACCCGCCGGCAAGATTTCACTAATCTTACCCCCCTCTCTCTCTCTCTCCCTCGTAGTAAGATCTAAATATGGGGTATGTTGTATAATCCACAAACTGTATTTTAATGAATGTATTGATCTATTAACTCTGTTACTAGATTCACTATTTTCTCTGCCATTAGTAGCCCGATAGCCAGCCAGGAGTCAGACAAACATTCTCCTGGGTAAACCCATGCAGCTGCAGCATCAATGGTGTTACTAATTTTGAGTGTCTTCTGGTATAAGATGGTTTTTTCTTGCGTATTTCTGTTGCACTAGCTACTAATGAATTTTGGAAGGTGATATAAACATATATATTGCTAGTCTTCTCTTTATCAGTTCCCCCTCCTTTCCCTTCTTGTTACTTCCCTCCTGAAAAAATAAATAACTAAGCAACTATACCTAGCTAGGGTTTATAAATTATAGCCAGGAACTCCCAATCGAGTTTGGATGGTTTACCGTTTGGCTCGGGAGCTTGTGTTTTGTCTACTTCGCTCATGGTAACTAACTCAGACAATTTTGGAATCCAAGAGTTTCGATGAATTTGCTGTTGGCATGGCACCCACTAAGTACCCTTCCTTCCTTGCACAAATATACTTTGTTTCCTCAACCTCTAATTTCGATCTAGGGATATGCATGTGCACAGAATTCCAAATCCAGGGCCTATATATGCAGCAAATCAACAACTCCTGATTACATGATTCTACCAAATCAAAGCTTATAAATACTCAAGTTTAGCGGGGGGAAACGACCTACATTTTGAAGAAAACTACCTCATTAGCTACTAGCTCGGTCTTTGTAGTTATATCAATTACCAAATATATATTATGGCAAATTCTATGTACAACTTAGGTCGAATTACCCGACGCATTGCCATGTCTATATACAACTTTCTGTAATTCAAAATGCATAGACAACAACACTGCGGGTAAGATGCTTTGGAACATAGAGTTCAAGAGGTTCATATAGAACTTCGAAATTCTGGTTTCTTGCCGTGTGTATCTGCCCGGTGCCCACTGCTTAAAATAGATGAGAAAGCTAGATTAAAAATGGAAAAATGAACATATATATCCTGAGCGGGTACGTGGTAAAAAATTTTGGTTTGATTCAAAACAAATAGAAGCTAATATTATCACTCATTTCCCCTCAAATTGAATTATCGTAAATCGAAATAAACTTTGATTCGGTTTGGTTGGTCAAAATTTAATTTGTCAAACCGATTGAACAGTGTGACAACGTCCATCCAATAGAGATGTGACCAGATCGATCGGGTTCAACCTGATCCATCGACTAATTACCGACTCAACCCTGTAACCCATGACCTATGAATTGATCAACCAATAAAACTGAGTAAACCACAACCCGGTAGCCTAACCTAGAGGTGAAAGCTTGTCCCGGAAGACCCACTGACCCGTCCCGTCCCGTCCCGTCCCGTCCCTAAGGGTCGGGACGGGTCAGTTTGTCTACAGGGACAGATTAGGGACGGGTCATTTGTTGACCCTATAAGGGTCGGGTGTGGTCGGGACAACTTAGGGACGGGTCACGTTTTGACCCTATGACCCTTAGCAACAACAAATATCTCATACTTCATTGGACCTTTTTGTAAAGTTTTAAAAGTTTAGGTACTAATTTGTAAAAATAAAAAATTTGGGTACCAAAACGTAATTTTACCATCAAAATTTATGAACTTATTTGTAAAAAAAAAATAAAATTTAGGTACTAAATTGTAAGAAAAAATAATTTTGGGTACCAAAACGTAATTTGTAAAAAATTAGTGTGTTGATTAGGGTCGACTCACTGACCCGTCCCGTCCCGTCCCAACCCTTGAGGGTCAGACAGGGTCAAGAAGGAGACAGGGACGGGACGGTTATACATCTTGACCCTTCAGGGACGGGTCAGACAGGGACGGGACAGGCAAATTTTCAGCCCTAGCCTAACCTACCGAAATCCGACGTAACTCGTTAGTTTCGATTAACTTAGCACATTAAATCTTCACTTCTACAGGTAACTAAACACATAAAATTTTCATTCTCATGCTAGTGTAGTTATACCCTTACTGTCAAAACAATACTACAACCACAATAGCAACAAAATTGCAATAAAAGTTGTTGGGTTTACGAACTCTTTTAGATCTCATCCATGCACAGATTGACTTGTGCAGGTGAGGTGACTTAGGGCCATCAGTAGTGTTTGCCTAGAATTAACAACCAAGCAATATTAATTTCATGTCAAGTTAGCAGTACTCGAGCTAATGAGGAATGATCCATGTAAGGTCTGTCTCTCTTCTATCAATATATGGAGACCGGCCGGCCTAATACTGTTGCGGTTTAGGATCCTACCTACTATCAAATGTAGCAAAGGACCGTATGACCTAAAACAAAACAAAACAAAACAAAACATAGCAAAGGACTCATGTAGGGTCATGACATGAAAACCCCTTGTATATATTGTGTAGAGAGAAGAATGCAAAACAACAAATAATATGAGTGGTTGTAGTCAAGGAAAATGTGAGCTTTGGCAGGATAAGGTTTACTGAGATCACCTTTGGTAGAATTTTATGCTGCAATCTAAGTACCAAGTCAAATATACAAGAGAAATTACCCCTTGTACGTAAGTGTCCATCTAGCCTCATCTGTAAGAGGCCTATTGGGAAGGTACCTACAAGCAAATCCGTGTCGATTGGGTTCAAACTGGACAATATCATACTAATAGAACATTCGATCTCGGCATGTGGTAGCAGAGCCTTGTTCCAAATTGTGAATTCGGGACGATGGAGGTTGCAAGAGTCCACTCTCATTCGGTGACCTTGGGATTGAGATTTGCGTTTGACTTACGGATCAAAGGATATATGCATCTGATAATTGCTTGTGTCGAGTGGCTTGTAGATATAAGGTATTTTGGCATATCAGAATTCTACAGCCCCGGATCCGACCCCAAATCAGGCTTTTGACACCACTTGTGGAAACCAAATGCTCCATAAGTGTGATCCCTTATGCTTTGGGCCAAGTTAGTAATGGATTGCAGTTGGGTTCCTTCCCAAAACGCCTCATAAAATGGATGTTGGTGGACACGAATATACAATAACAGTTTCCCTCGTATCGATAGGTCTCCATTATTGATATGCAAGACCAACATATATCTTCCTTATATACACCAGATTTGTATATCGAGTCTCGATGTCATCGAATGAGGTTCAATCGTCATGCACCCCTTCATTTCTTGGATTTTCTTACCACCTCCCTTAAATAATATATTTTTGAAAATGCTGTGTTTTTTTTTAAAAAAAAATTCTTGTAACACTACGTCTGGGTTCAAAGCTATTGTGGAAAATAACTATGATTATATTGGTGTTTTCAAACATGTAAAAGAAAAACCCTTGTCACCTAATAGTTATTGTCCAACAATATGGGTATCGGACCAATACTATAGAATTTTCCTAAGAGCAAATCAGTACTTATAGGAATTAATCACCTGGTACTATGTTCGTTGCATCTTTGAATTAACCACCTAACCCGTACGAGAGGGATAATAAAAGTTTCTTTACTTGCCATGTTTGCTTTCGTCGGGTAGTCTCTTTTGGGGTTTGAACAAAAAAAAAAAAAAAAATGAGTGAGTTGTTGAAATTGAGCGGTGGAAAAGCCTTGTATGGACCGGACCCGGCTGCGCCATACAGCTCATCCAGCCTACTCTGCTGAGCAAGCTGACCATGGAGGAGGCATTAGGCTATCTCTTACCGTCTTACGTGAAGAGACAAGGGTGAAGACTGAAGACATAGCGAACCTTTTTATATTTCCTATATTTGGCCCGGGTTTTAGAAGTACTTTTCGGCTTGAAAAGCTGAAGCAGGGCCAAATACTTGTAAAAGCTCGGCTTTTGAAAAGCCGAAAAGCGCTTTTGTATAACATAAAAGAAGAAGCTCCGATTTGGAGCTTCTGCGAAAAACTGTTTTTGAAAATTCAAGTCTCACTTTCGTACTAATTATTTTTTGAGTATTTATTAATCTCATACGTTGATATATTACCAGTAACTCCAGTTTACCGGGTATCTATGGGTTGCGTAATTCAAAACCCATACCTAATCCAAATAGATTTATTTCACAAAAGAAATCTCACCCAACCTTAAATCTAAAATTTAACAGTAAATATAGGTGAGATAAGATTGAATAGGTTGGTTGGATTAAGCTATCCATCCCAAGTATCAATGAGATTATATATAAAATAAGGTGAGATTAACATATAAATGGCCATGATATTTTTAATATAAACGAAAATAACAGTTAAAAAAATATAAACGAAGACACAGTGACTTGTGGTTTCCGCTTGGGAGTTTTTTTTTAAAGTGGAAATGGATTGTGATTGGTTAAATGGGGCTGACGTGGAAGCACAAATGAACAACAATTTTGAAACCCTGAAGCCTTTAATGGGAAAAGCTATAATATATTCTTTAGATTTAGATTTAGATACCAATCTTTGGGGACCTACAACCGTTACCTCATGTCATGGTTATCGGGAACTTGCTATGTTTATTGACCATACCACATGTTGTACTTGGGTTTATTTTTTGAAACTTAAATATGACTTACTCTCTATAGCACAACAAATTTCATAAAATGATACATACATAGTTTGGCGGACCTGTTAAAACTGTAAGATTGAATGAAGGTGTGGAATTCAATTCTACTCCTCTTCAATCTTGCTTTCGATCTTTGGGCATCTTATCTCAGAAAAGCATGTCCAAGAGTTACTAAGCAAAATGACTTATTTGAGCGTAAAAACCGACATGTCGTGGAACCTATCAATTGTCAAGTCACTTCTATTCTTGGTATGTTCCCCATAAGAAACATCATATACTTATTCCCGTCTTTATGTGTTTGGTTGCCTGTGTTTCTGCACTTCCTCATAAAGATTGTCCTAAATTGTCTTTCAAAATGTTTCGGTGTGTCTTCTTAGGCTATAGTGATGTCCACAAAGGCTATATTTGTTTCAATCCCAAAATTCAATCTATGCAAGTCACTTGGTATGTCAATAGAGTTTTGTGTGTAAACCTAGAGTAAGGTATTGAGAACCCCTAGCCCATGACGCAAACTTAGAGTTTCGACTGCCGTAATAGGGTTTTGTGTGTGTGCATACACGGAAGTTAAGCTGGACGTATGATCAACTGAATGCGAAGACTCCTATGCTCCTGCTCTAATCAGCATCAGTGTATTACATCTTACAATACTAGAAACCACATAAATCGATTGTGGTTTTGCTCCCCATTCGTTTTGGTTACAAATCCGGTACGATTTGTTAACACAATCCCTCA